TTTTTGTGTTTTTTTTTTTTTTTTTTGGTGGGCTCCGTTTTGATTCTGTTTCTTGGCAGCTCCTTCTTAGGGGTTTTCATCTGAACTACGTCAAATTTCATATTCACAATGTCTTGGGCATGATTTTCCTCTAACTTCTTACAAGAGATTTCACGTCCATTTCTAGCTCCATGGGGCCAGCTGGCGGCCGCCTCATCCTTGCTTAGCCCGCTGGGGCCTTGACAAGGGAGCAGGACTGGTTACACAACAGGAACGTCCGATGCTACGTTCATAAAAGATAAAGCGTGTACTCTGGTTCGGAGTGTGCTGTGTGCATCTAGGGTGAGACTTGAATACGTGTTTGGAAAGCTTCCCAGGAGACGTGCGTGTCTGGTCTGGGTAAGGAACCAGAGGATGAGCGGTCTGTATACTCAGGGACAGCCACCTCTTGGGGAAGAAATACAAACTTAAACTCTTCATGTCATAACGAACGTAGTGCTGTCAAATGTAACGTTACTGTATGGAACTAGTGAAAACTTTCTCTACTGTTCCTAGCCATTGCATTGCTGTGTCAGAGAACAGCCTAGACAGGGAATGATCTATGACACTCTGGTTGGATGGGACACTCTGCTAGACATGGAGAGCTGCAATGTGCTCCTGACCTCCCCCCTTTTCTGTCAACTAAACAGGTTTTAAGAATCTCACAACATCCCTTCCTGTACTTCACCTGTCAGACACCTTTTACTGACACATTGTAAAGGCTGTATATTGGATTCTTCCATGCTTTTTGGCACCCTGAATAAAACTTAAGAGAAATAGTTTTACAGATGCCATTAATAGAACACCTGCAAGTCAGACTAAGACTCCAATCACACAGAACTGTGACTCTCAATCTTAGAGTAGGGGGAAAAGGAGAAACATACATTTCATCTTTCTTGGGCATATTTAATTTTGGATCTGATTAGCCTGACTTCACATTTTCAAAACCAAAATTAGACCGCCAGCCAACGTCAAGGAGAAAATCAAACTGGAGACTTGACTTGCTTTTCTTACAACTCTCATACTCAGAACTAATGTTTTTAAAACTTCACTTACACTGTAGGCAGGACTAAAGGCAGATGGTCCCACAGCTCAGATCGGATGCTCACATTTCTTTCACTCCCTTTTGTATATGTATTTCTAATTGGTGAGGGAAGAGGAGAACTGTTAATGTGCCTCTGCCCACGAGATCATAGGCGGGGTTGAGGAGCCTTATTCTTCCATTGCAAGCCCATATAATCAGATCTCCCTGCCACAGGGTTAGTTTGTGCCCCAGATTAAGCTGTTCATTGCCGCCGTCAGCTACATAGAAACGTCCTCTTAAAATACTTGCTCATTTCATGTGCAAAAGAATGGTATGAGATTTTATTCTTCCATCAACATATCACTAGTTCTAAAGAGTTGCCAAAATCTCTGAGAAGGGAAATACAGGACCTTTACTCCTTCATTAGAGAGAAGGATGGGTGGAGCTACTAGAAGGACTCCGCAGGGAAACAGCAGTGGAATGTTCATTCCTCTGCGAGGAGCTATGGGAGAAATGTGCTCAAGAACGAAACCTATGCCGAATTCGTGACCCCGATAACCATCATCGGGCACATCAACTGTACTGTGCTTTAGTAAAATTATAGTTCGGTTATTAGATCGCTTTGGACTGAATTTTCAGCATCTTCCCATGCTCAGTTACGAAAATATACTGGTGAAAATCTTATCAGATCTTCATTATGACAACTTCTAGTGGCCGGAGATTATTTTATCATTTAATTTTCCCTTTCAAGTTGGCCTTTCTTATTTGAAGAAGCTAGAACTTTGCAGAGTTCAAAAGATGATGTGAAGTTCATTAGACACTGAGCAGTAGATTATATGAGAAAAAAAACTTCGCAAATGAAGTAAAAATCATGATGGATAGGCAAACCAAGAGAAGAAAAAAAAATTCATAAATTCCACAGTGTTTAAAACACATCTTGTCATGTGTATGTATATATAATACACATCTTATTCTGTGTATGTGTATATATACATTATATATCTTGTTATATAAATGAATATATAATACATGCATTATATACTGAACATCTTGTTATATGTAGATGCACATGGAAGACATACATATAACAGGCAGCTCTACATGAAGCTGTACGCTGCTTGGGAACTGGGCCCACACTTTGCATCTCCTTTATGCAGTCTATGCTGACCACATGGCAGGTGCTCAAAAACTTGCTTAACTGAATTTAACATCACCTGGCAAATAAGTTAGCTACTTGATGTTAATCCTTAAACAGTTTTTATTAACCATTGGCATTGTTTATTCTATTAGTTACAAACAAAAGCATTCACATTAGTGTAATGATATTACCTGTAAGGGTAGCCGTGGTACTTGGAACGAAATATGGAAAGTAGAAAACTGAAGAAGAAGACCACCAGGCCCAGTCCCACCAGACAAATGACTGGGGAGAGACAGAAACACCGTCAGTGTCTGGACACCGGCAGCCCGAAGGTTCGTATTTTTTAAATGCATTCAATGAATTACGGCATACTTACATGGAAAAGTTCAAGGCACACACAGGTACAACAAACCAGACAAGCATTATTTTCCACATTCTTCTCAATGAAAATGTACAATTTGGGGTATGGAAACAACAAAAGTGACTGATCTAAGTCTTCTGGTGGTTTTCTTCTCTGAGAGAATTCCTACAAGTACCAAAACGCCGCCAGGGGCATCAAAACACAACACAACAGAATGAGCGATAAACCACAAACAAGGCGACCAGCCCCGCCCTCTGAAGTCCTGGCTGGCCTAGCAGAGACATCTGCGTTATTAGAATGCTCGACAGAACTTCATGCTTTTCAGATGCCATGCAATATTTACAACGGAATATAATTTTAGATTATTGCCTTAGTAAAAAGCCTGTTGCTTAAAAACAGTAATTGATCCCAGCACACCGAAGGTTAGGGATAGAAGCTCGGGGGTGAGGAAATATGGATTCTGTGGGAGTCAAAGGGAAGAAAATCTCCCTAAATAGTTGGTGTTTGTGTCAAAATACTACTGTTTGCTTTACAAAGGAACCCAAGGTGTATGTTACTGTACCGTGTGCTGTGGTCTAGGGTTTCAATATTACTTGGCCCAAGGCAAGTTGACAGTAGGGAAATTACATTTTTTTTTTTCTGTTAGAAAGTTTTTACTCTGAAATACATGACTGACAAAATATATATAATATATAATAAAAATATGCAAATATTGGCTAATTAAGATTTATTCCTATTAGTGAAATACATATGAACATGTTCTTAGAATTTAAATGCTTGAAAATGAGCCAATTCAATGCAGGTATGTTTAGGGGAAAAAACATAATAGTTGGGGAACCTGAAATTTATTTGAATCTGTTCTGTAAATAAGTAGAAATTAGTTCTTGATAAGAAATACATAAATGTTTCTTAAGAATAAAACATTTGCACAATACTTATACCCTTTCATTTGTGAATTCTTTAAAAACACTGAAATATCTAAAATAATTATTTAAAAAAAAGGGAAGACAAAAGAGATTAAACACACTAAGGCAGAAGAAAACAAGGAAAACGGAACAGTTCTGTATGCTTCTATAGTGATGAATGTGATTTTAAAAAATGAATCTCAGATAAAAATTAGACCAGGCTTAAATGCAATCCTGGAAATCAGGGCGTAGATAAGGCATTGTCAAACCACGGTCTAAAAATCTCAGTTTTCCTGCAACTCTATAGGAATACTATTCTCTCAGTTTTGAGAACAAATTGTGGAAAGTCGTAAGTGCTTAATAGCATTCAGTTGCAGCCTTGATGACATTTCATTTCAGATGACACTTACGCACTTGAACTTCAAATGAAGTTGGCAGAAAATAAAGCAAAAAACAGGGTGCTGAATGCTGCAAAAGGAAAAAAACCACTTTTTTCCCCCTTAAATTGTAGAACATCCAAGTATGACAGCCAGAGACCAGCCACTAGACACTGCAACTTTGCTTACAAGATGCTTACTAAACCGCGCCTTCATCACGCAATGCTTGACTGTATACCGCCCTGCATTTGGTATTTTTTTATTAAGTACTTCTTCCTTTCCTCTTTTTCTTCAAAAGCTGAATTCTTTTCACTCCCTTTGCCACTTTCAGTAGCCTTGTTTGTTTACAGATGATCAAATAAAACAGTAATCATAGTACTTGTATCAAAAATAAAAATCCCATTAGAATCAAAAGGGAATAATTTAAAAATATATTTCCCATTACTCACCTCTTTACACACATATGAATAAATAAATGGGCAGCATGTGGGGGTTGGCGTGATTTTATATATATATGTAAATCTACTAAGATAGAAGTTGGAAGTAGTGATTTTATAAACTCAGTAATGTAGACATGAGGTTTAAAAATTACTACATATTTCTTACTACTCTAAAATGACAGGATATATGATATATATCTAATCACATAAGAATTTGTCCTTATCAATATTATTTCTCACTCCCAAGAACACCACATTTTTATTCAAAAGATATAAAAAGATGTTCTGAACAGTGATTAGCAAAGTAACTCGTTCATGCTTCGGTAGTTTCTTCACAACGGTGGGCAGATGGCATCATGGGAAAACAGGGTAAACCAAACTGTATTAACTACATCCAAAACATGTCGGCACTTCAGACAACTACGCGTTTAGAAATCACTCCAATTTATTTATCTATCACTCTGGCTAAAATTCTCATAAAGAAGTTTGGATTTTTATTTTAAACTTATTAATAGATTATCAGTGTTTTCCAGATGCCTATGCTCCTCGCTCATAAACTGTGAGTTTTTAAAAGGGTTCAGAAATGGAAAGCAAATTGAGAAAAAAATCTAATTATAGATTTGTGGAGGCATAATCATACAGTCACATAAGGACTTGATACCAATTACGAAAAGGTCTGTTGCACAAAATACTGACTGTGAGGCTCTCTGTCCTTTGCTAACCTATGCTCCCCAAGGCAGAAGATTTTTCCCATGTGATTTTCTCTTTTCCTGCCAAAAATGTTACTTTATCAAAATGTATTCCTTTTCTACAACTCTCTGAGAAGGAACAGTTCTGTCAAAGGATAAAACAGTTAATTTGCTTAAAACCTAATGCCGGGACTTGGTAGAGTTGTAAATCTTGGCCCACCTCTGGAAGAGGTGGTATCCTGAGCTGTCCCCTTTCTAAATGTTGGTAGAAGGCGGTCTGGAGGTAACTGGAAGGTGGTGTGATATTTCAGGGTACAAGAGCTATGCAAAAACTTGTGAGTCAGTCCCTGACTGCACCCCTGAACTGCATGGCAGAGGCAACATCCCATCTGCCAATAAGCTCTCCAAAGACTGCACACAGAATTTTCCACTTCTTCCTGTCGGGTGGACATTACTACAGAGACTCCAGCTTCAGCAGAGATCAGGCAGAACACGCCTGACAAAGGTGCATACCGGCTCTCCTGTCTATCCAATTCCACAGAAAATCACCCAATCCCATTTTGAAAGAAATATATTTTTAAGTATGTGCACACACACACATCCAAGAGATAGAAAAGAGGAACACGACAACTGTTTTCAAACCAGAACATTTCTGTACAAGTTTGTTTACGAAGGACTTTTATGTATGTCCACTTGATTTAAATGAATCTTAAGACTAAAACAAAATTACAGAAACACCAACACTGAGACTTACTCCGTCTTTTCCCAACATCTCCTTTGGATGTTGCTGCTTCATTTAGAAGAACCATCCCCATGGTGATAGCAGCATCTGTAGCAGTTGTCAAGGAAACAGCAGAAATAGATGCAAATAAACTCTATTACTTTTCTGAATGTGAACACGGTGTGGTCTGCCCCAGAATGGTTAAATTACAAATGCACACAGAGGTAAATAAAATTCACTCTTTACAGAATATAAAATTACTACTCTATGTATTTCAGTATGCCTTAATTTTCAAACTATAACACTGAAAACTTTAATTTGTGAGATTTTAAAGGTCTAATTCTAAATGCTCTTAAATTCCAGGACTTCCATAGCGCATATGAGTTACAGGGACTCAAAGTCAGTGACACTTCACATTATATATAAAGATACGCACTAGTTATAGTTAGAATGACAGTTCATTGGCAATCCTAGAAAACTGGAATATATTCAGCATGGAACCGACCGTGGTTGGAAGCCTAATGTATTCAAGAGAAAAAGCCACTACCAGCCCCCTGCCCAAAGCACTTATCTGCCATATGCTACCACTAAACTTTGAGGAATCCATGATAACACGGTTTGAAAACCTCTGAAATTTAAATAATTATTAAATGATTTGAGTTTTGATCATGTAGTGATGGCCTGAAAGGACAGTGCAGGAGAATGAATGTTTTGTACTAGTAGTACGTTACTTTGTGCACTTTAAGGATTCATTATTCTTAAGGTATTTTGGATAATGTACTGATACAGGTTGCCTTGAGTCCCTGGTGATAGGATGTTGCCAATAATAAAATGGTTAAAAAAAAAAAAGCTTGTATCAGTCAAACTGCTGATACATAGGGAATTCCTGCTTAACTTAGTTCTCTGGAGCAAACTGAGATGACTGATGGAGATTCTTAATAAGGACTTATTAAGTCCTTAAATGAGGACTCTCCTTTCATCTTTCTCCGATAGCACTCTTTTATATGCATGTATAAATTCTAATTTACACATTTAAATTTACATATTTGATCTATTAAAATTCATGCAGACTTCTAGATTAATTTTAACTATGAGGAAAATAATTTGGAACTATTCAAAATATAAAGTTTTTAAATGATAATACAAACAAAACAAATATGTATTTTATGACTATCTGCAGAGTAGCTTCTGAAATTCCTTAATAAAATCAGAAGGGGGAAGGTACTATTTTTATTTCTGGGGAAAGCAAGGTTTCCAAAATTAAATGCTTTAAAATTTTGAGAGTAAAGCCACACATTAAAATATTCCCAGGATAAAACTGAATATACACAGACATCTACCCATATGTACATTATATGTATGTTTTATGAACACACATAAACATAGACATGCTTAGGGAGAAATGTATTTTATTAAGCAAAAATTTTAAAGGTCTAATTCTAAATGCTCTAAATTTTATTAAGTATTTATTATGGTCACTGAGGTGTAACATAACCCTGTTAATGTATCTTCACACCACATACCATTTTTACTACTCTCCCTCTGTAAACTTACAATGTTGAAAATTTTGTGACCAACATGCTTCTCACATGAATTGCTGTTGAATGTCACACAAATTCAAACAGCACTGTGACAAGACGTAACATTTTCGTAAGAGTATACTGAATATTATTGCTTCATCTTCCTGATGGGAAATTTGTTTCCAAATGTTTGCTATTACAGATATTCCCGCAAAGAAGATCTTTTTGTAAGTACATGTGTAATATTTTTTCCAGGGTCTACACCTAGAGGCAGAGCTTTTGAGAGGCTGGGTATGTGTATTTTCAAATTTACTAGGTAGGATTCTACTCTCTGAACCAAGCAGTGTTAAGAGTTTCCATTTTTCTTACATTGCACCAGCACAGTGTTGCCAAACTATTGATTTTATTGAGCTGTTGAGTGGGATGTGTACTAATACTGAGTCTTCAGTATCTTTTGGTATGTTAATTCCTTTTTTTTTTAGTTTAATCTTCCGTATGTAGACTGCTTATTTATTTTTTTGCCCATTTTTCCACAAGCATATTTGCCTTTTCTTAGTAACTTACAGGATTCATTTTTTTCTGGATATGAATTGATTGAGCTGTTGCATATATATTCCTCTACTTGTCTTTTAAATTGCTTAGTTATGCAGAAGGTTTTCATTTTAATTGGCCAAAATTATTATTCTTTTCCTTTATGAGCTTTGGTTATTATTTCTTGCTTATGAAATTAATTCCTACCCCTAAGTCTTAAAAACTTTCTCTAGCTTTTATTTTTTTAACTGAAATGACGTATAATATGCGTCAGTTTCAGGTGTACAACATAGTGATTGGACATGTAAATACGTTAGGACGTGATCATCATCGTAAGTCCAGTAACCATCTGTCCCATAGAGAGTTATTACAGTATTAGCAGCTGTGTTCCTCGTGGTATCTACTACGTCCACATGATGAATTTGCTTCACCATTGTGAGTCTGTACCTCTTAACCCCTTCACCTATATTGCCCAATCCCTTGCCCACCTCCCCTCTGGCAACCACCCTGTTCGCTGTATCTGTGTCTTTTTTGGTTCGTTTTTTAGATTCTTCATATAAAGTGAGATCATACGATATTGGTCTTTCTCTGACTTATTTCACTTAGCATGATAGCCTTTAGATCCGTCCATGTTGTTGCAAATGGCAAGATCTCTCTTTTTTGACGGTTGGGTAATAATGCCATTGTATGTATCTTCTCACTCCATTCATCCATCAACGGACACTTTGGTTGCTTCCGTATCTTGACTATCGGAAGTAATGCTGCAATGAACATAAGGGTGCATGTATCTTTCTGACTTAGTGTTTTTGTTTTCTTTGGGTAAATATCCAGAATTAAAATTGCTGAATCATACTGTGGTTCTATTTTTAATTTTTTTTTTTTGAGTAACTTCTATGCTGTTTTCCGCAGCGGCTGCACGAAATGAGATTCCCACCAACGGTGCGTGGGAGTTCCGTTTTCTTCACATCCTCACCAACACTTAGTATTTGACGTCCTTTTGATGACAGCCGTTCTGACAGGTGTGATGTTGTAGCTTACTGCGGTTTTTATTTGCATTTCTCTGACAATTAGTGATGTGGAGTGTTTTCGTATGTCTGTTGGCCATCTATATGTTTTCCTTAGAAGAATGTCATATTCAAGTTCTCTGCCCATTTTTTTAAATTGGGTTGTTTTCTGATACTGAGTTGTTTGATTTCTTTGTGTATTTTGGGTATTGACCTCTTCCTGCATACATCATTTGCAATTCAGTAGGCTACGTTTTTGCTTTGTTGATGGTTTCTTTCGCTGTGCAAAGGCTTTTTAGGATGATGTAGTCCTACTTATTTATCTTTGCTTCTGTTTCCCTTGCCTGAGGAGACATAAAAAAATACATATGTATTGCTAAGATGAATTTCAGAGTCTACTGTCTGTGTTCTTCTAGGAGTCTTACGGTTTCACGTTTTCTTCTAGGAAGTTTATGGTTGCAAGTCTTACTTTTAAGTCTTTAATCCATTTTGAGTTTATTTTTGTAAATGGTGTGAGAAAGTGGTTACGTTTCATTCTTTTGCATGTAGTTGTCCAGTTTTCCAACGTGATTTATTTAAGAGTCTGTATTTTCCCCATTGTATATTCTTGCCTCCTTTGTTGTAGATTAATTCACCGTAGGTGCATGGGTTTATTTCTGGGCTGTCTGGTCCATCAATCCATGTGTCTCTTTTTGTGCTCGTGCCATACTGTTTTGATTACTGTAGCTTTGTAAGATGCTTTCAAACCAGAGCACATGATACCTCCAGCCTTGTTCTTCTTTCTCAAGATTGCTTTGGCTAATCAGGGTCCATACAAATTCTAGTGTTACTTGTTCTAGTTCTTTGTGTTCTAGTTTAGTGTTTTGATTGGGATTGCACTGAATCTGCAGATGCTTTAGGTAATATGGACAGATTTCTAATATCTTAAAAGTAAATTGGGTAGTGTCATCCTTCTCCTTAAAGCACTCTGATAGCTTTTTACCTCACCAAGTAAAATCAAAGGAACTCAAATGGCCTCAAGGCTGAACCTGATTCATATCCTGACCCACTGCCTATACTTCTCTGCCCGTGTTTGCTCTTATCCCTGTCCTTGGTATTTCTCCAAGAGAAACCCCTCTGCCTCAGGATCTTTGCACTTGCTATTCTCCTGCTTGAATGCTCTTCCCCCGCAATATACACACAACTCACTCCCTCACTTCCTTCAGGTTTCTGTTCAAACATCAGAGAAGCCTCCTATGAACTCTCTGCTTCCTTCATCCTGCTCTGTTTTTCTCTATAACATTGTTTTTGAAAGAAATTGTAGATCCTGTGTCTTTTAAATTTACTTACTGTCTTTTTCTTGTCACTACAGTGTTAGCCCAAAAGGATAAAAACTTTGTTCACTGTCCCATCTAGTACTAACTACTCTTTGATGCAGGTACCATTGTTGTCCTCAGTTTACAAATAAGGAAACTGAAGCTGCCAGAGAGGTCCGGATAAGTTATGCGAAGTCACAAAGCCTGTGACTGAAAGCTGCAAACAAACAAACAAAAACCCAGAAGAAATGAAGTAGGATGATAACAGAGGGTTAGATGAAAAGAGTGTGGGAGGAACAAAATAGCTAAATCTATTTTAACATAATCTATATCTTTATGCTAAGCATAAAAATAATTTTATGTCAAGTGAACATGTACATAAACAATGTAATTTCATCTCTCTAAAAACAAACAATAAAGAAGAGAAATGCAGGAAAAGAAAGACAACGAAAAGTTGCAAGCAACTGCCTTGGGATAATGAGCTTGTGGGCTTTTGCTTTCTATTAGCCACATTCTACACAGCAGTAGTTTGTGAAATTTTTTAAAGGGCCAGAAAGTAAATACTGTGGGCTATGCAAGCTGTGTGGCGTATTGTTACCGCTTTGCTCTGCTGCTGCAATGAAAAGTAACCATGGATAATATAGAAATGAATACATGTGGCTGAGTTCCAATAAAAACTTTCTTTATAAAAATAGTAGACAAGTTGGATTTGGCCCTTGCTGGTTCTAGTTTGCCAACCCCTGCTATAGAGGATCTAA